TTCTTAATTAGCCTCTTACAGTATCCAGAAATCTATAACTTTATATAATAATTAAGCACAGTTTGGAGATCAGCAAATATGTACCTTGAGGCTAATGATTTAAAAAGTGCTCCATAATTAACTGAGATAGGAGAAAAAATAGTTTGACAAACAGTAGCGTGTGTTTTCTTGTACTAGTCAGTGTTTCTCCCTATCACAAAAGATGAGTGGGTTGTTTTTTCAGTTGTATTATAATGTTTAGGTTGCTTATATGTATGTCAGTTGGGGGAAGAAGGATTGTGAAAATGATAATATGTAAAGTGAGGTTTCACAAAGAATAGATTTTCCTAAAATGGTTAAATTGATTAACTTCTTTTAAAAAAAACTTCTATTTAGTGTTTCTGAAGTCTTGTCGCTTAAAGCCTTAAATTTTGTGTTTAAGGCTAAGTAGAAGGTGAAAGCATTTTCTGCCAGCAATTTGCTTTATTGGTGCTAGACCCTGTCAAGTGTTGATCAGCATAAAAGGAGTTTTGATTCTTCTTTGTGAAACATCACTGTGTGATAAAGTATATGTGTATTTAGCATCCTTGTTTTTCTTTATGCTAAAGTGGATTCAGCTGTGTTGGGGCAGAAGAGACGGGACCAGCTGCTGGCCACATTTCCTGCTTTATTTTAAAAGGTAGTATAAGAAATGAGAATAAAGAGGTAACAGGGCTTTTGCTGTCTTTGGTTAAAAAACAAAAACAAAAAACCAACCATAAAACCAAAAGGTTGAATGCTGGGATCATTTTACTGTCATCCAAGATGTTGTGGTGTTTTTTTTTTTAAAGACAATATCCTATCAAACAGGTTTTAACTCCGCTGTCTGCGGAATTCCATCTGTTCAGGGTAGACTGCCAGCACAAAAGAGACTTAGTGGGATCTGTTACCTTACACCTCTGTGGTGCCATCAACAGGACTGTTCAGAGTTTCTTGAAGCGGTGTAACCCCGCTGGAGCTGCTGGCTTGAGACGCAAAATGGAAATAATTGAGTTAGGCTCCACCTAGGCTCCACCTGCCTAGCTCTGACTTCACAAACGTGCTTCGTTTGGAAGTTTAAACGTGCTTGATGAAAAGAGAAACACTAATGTAGCGAGTATGGGATGTTACAATGGCGTTTTTTACAGTTACTTCAAAGTAGAAGTGGGTTTTTTAAGTTAACTTAAATATGCATACTTTCTTTTTGCATCACCGCTAAACGGGAGAGGTCAGGGACGTAGTTCTGGTCTCTGTTGTAAACCTGCACATTGCTCTAGTCATGAAATTACCTGTGAGCTGTGTCTGAGAGTAGCTGACGTGCAAAATGATGTACACCGGTACAAGAACGAGGTCAAGTCCCAAGAGAGTAAGTGGCTGCAGGCATTTCCAGTGCCTACTGAATCATATTTAAACCAAATAGAGGGGAGGAAGTTATTTGAAATTCTAACCGACTGTACTATCTGTATGGTGTATTCTTAATGTAGCTTTTTTGAAGTGGAAGCCTTGAAATGACATAACTTAATACTTGAAAATATATTGTAAATGTTTCTTTGTAATTATGTGCCATCCAGATAAGAATACAATTACCATAATAAAATCGGACCTGTTGATCTTTCAATTTACGGGCTCAAATGTTTTTTCATCTTCTTCTTCTTGCTTTAATCGGGTGGTTCATTACACAAAATGGGGGAAAAATCTTGTTGTTGTGTTGCTCTCGGGGTGGGTCATGTGTTGGAAAACAAGATGGAATGGATCAGGGTACGCAGGAGAAAGGTTCTCACTCATCTGTCTTTCAAGTTAAGTTTGTGGTGAGGACAAAAAGAAGGTGTTATTCCTTGAACCGAAGAGAGGGTTGTACTTCTGAGAATCACCCCTCCCTGTAATTTACAGTTGTTTTTCTTTCTTAATATTTTATTAACATGGATGTGTTTGATGAATAAACCCTGGAGGAGCAGGATACTTACATAAACACTTCTGTGGTCTATTGGCATCTTCCTCCTTTCTGTCCCATTTTTAGGTTCTGAAGTTTTGATGACTGGTTAATAACATGCTGTTAAACCATAATCTTTCATCGAATTGTTATTTCTAAACACTGGAGTGAGCGTGACAACAGGTCTGAGGGTGCAGAAAGGACAGAACATTTTTAAAGCTCCAGAGCAATCCATGCGCCGTACTCTTTGATTTCTGTTAATCTTAAATGCTTTTATCTGTAGAGAGCAGTTAAATGGAATGCTGACTTTCTAGTGAAGGTACTCTGCAGCTTGATAAAAAGCAACATTTCACAAAAAATATCGCTTAAAAATTTAAAAGCATACTCGTGTGCTCTGCTGTTTTGGCTTCCAGTTGTAGAAAATCCCCTGTTTGGCACTGAAATTTGTGTTTGTTGAACTGTACGTACCCGGTGCCATCAGTGTGCAACTTTGTGGTGACGCTGCCTTCATTTTTCTAATATTTCTCCACCCCCAGCCACTTGAAGTCTATTTCCTATTTAAATAAGAAACAATTTCACACTCGGTTCTCTGTTAGTCCTTTACAGTTTGATTTGGGTGCTGTGAACTCTTAATGGCATTTAAATTCACTTCTCCCTCTTTCTTCTGAAGAGCTTGGCAGCAGCTGAGAGGAAGAAAACAAATCAGTGTTTCTGTGATCTCTGGCTGCCTGGAGAGATGATAGTAACGTAAACGCAGGGAACCACGTTCCAAAACTTGGCATCTCTTGGTTCTTCCAGATTATCAGATTTCTCCAGCTACTTATCAAAACTGTAATCGGGTTTTCCTGTGAAAAACAAAGGCCTTTTGTAAATTTACTAATTTTTTTAGAAAAACTTAAGGTTCTCTAGAGTTTGTAGTTCAAGAGGTTTTCCACTAGAAGCGACAATACTCTATAGGCTTGTGTGTGCTGTTTGTTAGGCTGTAAGTGTCTGAAGGATGTATTAGTCATGGGGGTTGTTCAAAGGGGCTGTGTTTGAAGAACACCCTGTGTAAAATTGCACATCAACAGGAGTCGATTCCGCAGTCTTTCACCCAATTTAAGTGGGATATGGAGGTCTGGAGAAACGATTCTGCCTTTGCTCGTTAGCAGGAGGATGGGGGGAGCTGGACTAGGGCAGGGAGAGGAGGGTGTGGAATAACTTGTGTGAGTTTCACCATCAAAAAATAGTATGCATAGGAGATAAAATTAGTGCTTTTTTTTTATATTTCTGCTGAGTCTTACCTACAGCCAGCCTCTCCGTGTTCTTTTGGCTGTAGTTCAGACTTGGGGTAGTCAAAAATCCCTCCCTGTAGGGTGTATGTTCCCAGAGGACACTCCTTCACACTAGAAGTTCCTGACAGCATCCTGGTGTCCTGCTGAATTCTGAAGCAGTTTCAATCTTTATTCTGTAACTTCCTTTTAAGAACCTTTTTTCCCCCTCTTAGTTGTTTAAGGAGAAGTACCCAGTGTACAACTGAAAAGCTTCCTTTTTTATAACCACACCACCTTTCTGGCCCAAAGAGCCCACCCGGGACCCGACCGATGCCAAAGGCTTAAAATACAGATTTGCAATTTGTGCGTTCATCAGTTATGCTGGAAACAAATATTTGGCTTTCAATAAGTTTCAAAACATTGAGGAACACGACCTTTTTTTTTCCCTTGTTACATAAAATCATCACCTTTCACCCCAAGAAATTAATAGCTAAAAAAGAGGGGGTTTGTCTACATCAGATCATTCAATGTCAGAGCACGCATTTTGATTGCTCACAGAAAAATTATCACTTGTAACAAAATGAAAATAGGTCATGGATTGAATCTCACACTTTTTTTTAAAAAGCACTGGGATCTGTTTACAATATCTTAATTCTTATCCTGTTAAACACTTTGCAATAATCACTGAGCCATTCATTTTCAGTCTTAAAGATACTTTGGCCTTCTCTGGACAAATCAGGCCACTACTTTGGGTTACACAGAAATAGAGTGCATGATTTTCCTGCTCTAAGGACAAATTTGTTAGGAAAAAAAAGAAACACGATGAACCTCTTAACACATTCTTCAGCAGTGCTAAAGCATGAATTTTGAACCAATCCAATTAAGGGTCTGAATGCTGAATTCTTAATTCTCATTAAGAATTCTCATGTTTCCATGAACATCTCTGGAGAATGTAGAATTTTACCGATCGTACAGGTTTTACAGTGTAGACCATATGTCAGATTGAGATGATTGCTTCTGTAGAAAAAGTCCCAAATTAGTTCTCAAACTGCAGAATACACCAAAGGTACCTCGTGCAGTAGGAAAACGAGCAATTTCTATTGCTCTAGAGCATAAAGTCGCCGAGGTGAAGACAAGCCTGACTCATACATGAACTATTCTGGACCACTACTCTTCAAACTAGAGGTAGCTGAGATACCACAGCAACAGCGCTGGCCATTCGAGGCCTCCCACCACAGTTCCTCACTTCAGGAAAAGCCTAATTTCAAGGCAAACTGGTTACAAGGACAAAAATTGTTCTAACTAGGCTTTTTTTTTTATATATGCTGGGAAGTCTGACACGAGTATCACAAGTATCACTCCCCATTGCTCTACAGCTTATAGCGAGACCCTTGTAACAGTCCTGAGGGGGTAACCTGGGGACAAGTTCTGTGCTACAGCAGAATGGAGGGAAGTTCAGGCAGAAAAATACCCAGATTTTAAGGAATCTCTAGAAAAACCTTGCACTGAGCCTCCTCTTCCCCCTTTTTTTTAAGTCACTGTGGTTTGTATTACGAAGAAAAAACCCTTTTTCAATAATACTCTTTTGGACACCTTCTAAATGATGTAGCATCGCCTTAGAGCCAAACACTAAGCAGGCAATAGGGGTTTTTTCCCCCCATTTCCAAAGAAAAATGTCTTGTCCTTATACAGCTGTTATTCAGGTGTATTCCCTAAGCTGGACATAATGAAAAACTTAACTTGCATGTAAGTTCAGAGCTGAGAAGAATGCCAGCGCAGAGCCTTAACTTTGGTTTTCTATTAAAAAATACAGCAGGGAACAACTTCTTTCTTTGTTTATTCTGGTTATTCATCCAAGGCAATTGAAAAGTTGCTTAACTTCAGTCATGGAGCTCTTCAGGATCCCCCCTCATGTTCATCCGCTCCAGTACCTTGATGTATATTCCGTGATGTTTAGTGGAAAGATATAATCCAGTCAGAAGCTGTAAAACTATTCCCAAACTCATCTTCCTAAAGACAGGCTGAGCAGTTGTGAGCCAGAAGCGTAATAGATTTTCTTTCCCTGGCAGGGGAGACGAGGAATACCTAAACAACACAAAGAGTGGTAGAAACTTAGAAACTTACTTTTTTTTTAACATCCCATTTAAGCATCAAGGTTTAACATTAAAGTCATTGAAAATATTGAGGTAGCCATTCATTCTCTCTGTCCTTTCCTAAGTTAAATTCAACTGAGCTCTCTGGATAAATGCTATAAACCATCCTGATGTCCCAGCAACCACAATTTCACATGCCCAGGCACGTTGTGGGCAGCTTAGAAGGTTCCAGCTCAAGACAAGTGCTTTACAGTTCTCAATTTGCAGATCTGGTTTCACTTTGCAGGTTTGGTTCAGCTCTTACTAACTTTGTCTTGTAATTAGTGACCTTAATGTAAATCCCCTTCCACCTACTACAAGCCTACAAGAAGACAGGTGTGCACAGACTAAAAATACACAGAATTTAAAATGAAAAGTGAAGATCTGACCAACAAATACATTTGCCTCGTTGCAGGTTAATAGGACGTACCTGGCCGCCAGGCTCGCGTTCACAGGGAGAGCCAGGAAAATGGGATAGAAGCCACCCAGAACTGCTCCTACCAATCCTCCTCTGACCACGGCACAGACCTCACAGTTCAGCTCACCTGCGCGACAAACCAAACCTCTCACTGTCCACGCTCACATCACCCCGGTGCATCCATTGACAGGTCGCATCAGGAACAACCAAATATGCAGGTATGTAAGAAGTTTTGAAAGGAGGACTCTTCCTTTTGCAAAAAGCATCACTCCCGTTCCAGCCCATGAAGAATTTATCAGTCTAAACTTGACCTTCAAACGAGATCATACAGATGAGGGAAAGTTCTGCTTTGTTGCAGTCACTTTTACATGACTTGCTGTGAAATATGCTAAAAATCAGTGATGCGTAACGAAGTTTTTTATAAACATATATAAATAGAGGAAGGACATGGTGTGACGTGACACATGGACCTGTTGGAACAGGTCCAGCAAAGGGCCACAAAAAAGATCAGAGAGCTGGAGCACCTCTCCTGTGAAGACAGGCTGAAAGAGTTGGAGTTGTTCAGCCTGGAGAAGAGAAAGCTCCGGAGTAGACCTTATAACAGCCTGCCAGTACCTGAAGGGGGCTACAGGAGAGATGGGGAGGGACTCTAACAGAGAGTATAGTGATAGAAGGAGAGGTAGTGGTTTTAAACTGAAAGATGGGAGTTTTACATGAGATATTAGGAATAAATTCTTTACTGTGAGGGTGGTGAGGCACTGGAACAGGATGCCCAGAGAAGTTGTGGATGCCCCATCCCTGGAGGGGTTCAAGGCCAGGCTGGATGGGGCTTGGAGCAACCTGGCCTGGTGGGAGGTGTCCCTGCCCAGGGGGGTTGGAACTTGATGATCTTTAAGGTCCCTTCCAACTCTAACCATTTGATGATTCTATGGATCGATCTCCTTTCCCACTCAACTTCAAGAACTCGCTGCCACCCAATGCACTAAGTGATCTGTTTTTCAAACCCTGCTTTACAAACCAAGTTTTTTCAAAACCACAACCGTTCAAGACCACTGTTCCGCAGAGGAAAAGCTTCTCTAGTGTTACACGGTGTACAGCAAGAAAAGCACATTTGAAAACAAGGAATAATGAGGTTTTTTACCTGAGAATAAAGGCTCGCGCACAAAAACTTCATAAACTGCTGCTGTTGAAAGAAAGGGAATCACAGCCATTGGCAAAGCGGTGATGAAGGCAGCCTTTCTGACATGTAGGATGTTCCTGAAGAAGTTATTTGCTGCTAAGCCACAAATGCTTGAATTTGCTGCAAGGAAGTACGATCCATGGTTACAAAGGTTCCTGTGAAAGAAGGAAAAGTCGCTTCAGATATTCTGAACTGGAAAAAAAAACTTGGTTTACTCAGTGCTACAATTCTGAGTATGCTACAAAAAGAGGTAAGAGAGGTAAATTCTCACTGGTGCAAAATGGAGAGTATGTATTTTTAAAAACCAGTACAGCGTCCTTCGCTATGTGCCTGTGTTTACACACACCTCAAGAACGAAGCAACAAAAAGGCCCAAGAAGACTTTTCAACATATATCATTATTATTATTATGGCTAATGAAAACATTCTGCATGAAATTTGCTGTCCTAATCAGCAGTTACCAATTTGCAGATCTTGTTTCACTTCGCAGGCTTGGTGCAGCTCTTACTAACTTTGCCTTGTTAAGGTGTTACATGACCTTAACATAAATCCCCTTCCACCTACTACAAGCCCACAAGAAGATAGGTGTGCGTAGACTAAAAATACACGGAATTTAAACTCTTGTTTCTAAGGAGAATGTTTTCTCAAAAGGAAATAAAAAAAATAAATACCTATAATCACAGCCAGCTCCTGTAATCAGCCTTGTTTCTAGCCTGCTTACCCAAAAGTGTGGATTTAGTTTTAGCGTAAGAGCTCACAGAGCAGATCAGGTGGGATAACTGGGGCAACAGAGATCACAGAATCACAGAATCTTCCAGGCTGGAAGGGACCTTAAAGATCATCTTGTCCAACTGTCACCGTAACTGACAAAAATAGACACCCGCACAACAAACAGCATCACTAAACCATCCCTCCCAGCACTACATCAACCTGTCTTTTGAACACCTCCAGGGATGGTGCCTCAACCACCTCCCTGGGCAGCCCATTCCAATGTCTGATAACCCTTTCGGTGAAAAAATTTTTCCTAATATCCAGCCTGAACCTCCCCTGGTGCAACTTGAGGCCATTTCCTCTCGTCCTGTCGCCTGTGACTTGGGAGAAGAGACCGACCCCCCCCTCTCTACACCCTCCTTTCAGGTAGTTGTAGAGAGCGATAAGGTCTCCCCTCAGCCTCCTCTTCTCCAGGCTGAATAACCCCAGCTCCCTCAGCCTCTCCTCATACGAGAGATCTTGCAGTAAGGATCTCAGAAGCTGCTGGCAGATCATTTGTGGCAACTCTCTAGGCTGAAGGGCTGTAAAGCCTTCCTTTCATGCATGGAACACGGGATTAAAGGTCCTACCTTGCCAGGAGGTTATGCTAAAGGTGACATACTGTTTTACAGAGCTGGAGCTTCTATTTGTCCCTTGATAACAGTGGATTCTGTTAAGAACCATGTTTTTAACAGAGGGTTTAGAGCAGCTGCTCCTGTTGCAATCTGTAAAATGGCAAAGACAGAACAGAAGAATATCTCTGGTCGGAGATAGCCAGCATTTAATATCTTAACGGCGAAGGCAGAACAGAAGAATGTCTGGTCGGAGATAGCCAGCATTTAATATCTTGACAAACAGCTTCCACTCCAGTACACTCCATCCCGGCAGGGAAGGCAAGAGAAGGGAGGGGAAAGCTTGCCAAATTCACAAGCCTGAGGAGCAGGTTGTGATTTATTTCCTTTGACTCCCAGAAGGAAGTTCTGCCTTATCTTTAGGATTATACCTGGCACAGACAGGTGATGAGTGAAGACAACTCTTTGCTTTGGGTTTCCACAAATCTAAAATTCCTCAAGTGACAACTATGGCCAGGCAAAGCAATTAACTGGGGGGGCACTCTGATGCTGAGGCTGTGCCAATGTTATTATGTTAAAAGTGTATTTTTAAAATGCGTCATAAGTTGGATTTACTGGTAAAGCTCCAAAGAAAATAAAATGCTTAACCGGTCACAAAATTTATGCTAGGCCACATGGCATATTTATTTGCTAAATTATCAAATGTGACAATCTCTAAACCATTTAGCAATTAAAATACATGATTTTTT